ATGACTGTAGAAATAAAATTGTACATCGTTGGGTAGTGGAGTGGAGTAACATTTGAATTATTTCTTTCCAAGAAAGAAAAGATCAAAAATAGTATGTAAAAGTACTAAGTATACATTTTGTTTCTGTTTTTTAAACTTCTACATATAAATATATATTTATAAAATAAATAATAAATATTTATATTTATGTGAAAAGTAACGGAATAGTATGTACCAAAATATTAAATTAACAGTGATTATCTCTGGGAGGTGGGCTTATGAATGAGTTACAGTTTTTCTCTCCTGTTTTTTTCTTATTCATATTTTCTAGTTTTTCTTTTCAAAGAAACAAACATTCAAAGAAAAAAAAATTATTTCTCTAATGCAGAGTAGTGTAAGTTTGAATAACAAAGAAATGCAATTGCTGGCTCTTCCTTATATAATCCTATCTGCAGAATGAGAGAGTACCCTGTAAGCCATTTGCTTTCCTGTTCTATTTCAGAGGATTCCACAGATGTTGGCGAGGAGGACAGCTTCCTTGGTCAGACTTCCATTCACACGTCTACTCCACAGACATTTAGTTACTTCTCTCAGGTATCAAGCAGTAGTGATCCTTTTGGCAATATTGGACAGTCACCATCGACAACTGCAGCAGTATCAGTTGGACACTCGGTGTTCTCCAAGCCCCCAACTGCTTTCCCTCTTACAACTGGATCCCAGGATGTGTCAAATGTGTTTTCACCATCCATTCTGAAGGCTCAACATGGTGCTCTACCTTCTTCACCAATGGGAATAAATACTTATCTGCCTTCTCAACCGAGTGGTCTTCCACCTTCAAGTTTTGGGAGCCCACCCCAAGGAACCCCCCAACCAGGACACAATCCATATCGTCATACCCCTGTCAGCAGCAGGGCTAGTCCTTACATAGCACCACCTCAGCTGCAACAGTGCCAAACACCAGGCCATCACACTCCTCCTCCACCCTCTGCACCCCCTGTTCAGATGTACCAGATGCCTCCAGGATCTTTGCCACCGGTATGGAGACATGTTTTTATGTCCTTCTTGTTTACTCTGATTTCTTCTCTTTATCACATTAGCTTATGTTTTGAAAAAACACTGTGGGCTCAGCACCTATAGCTCAACCGGCTAAAGCGCCAGCCACGTACACCTAAGGTGGCGGGTTCGAATCCCCAGCCCGGACCCGCCAAACAACAATGACGGCTGCAACCAAAAAATAGCCAGGCGTTGTAGCGGGCGCCTGTGGTCCCAGCTACTTGGGAGGCGGAGGCAGGAGACTCGCTTGAGCCCAGGAGTTGGAGGTTGCTGTGAGCTGAGATGTCACGGCACTCTACCCAGGGGGACAGCTTGAGGCTCTGTCTAAAAAAAAAAAAAAAAAAAGAAAAAACACTGTGTATTTTATACTCAGTATGATGACAGGTTATTTTCAGAGGGCATTCTTTGTAAGCTACATGCTTTTTTTTTTTTTTTTTTTTAGACAGAGCCTCAAGCTGTCCCCCTGGGTAGAGTGCCGTGGCATTACAGCTCACAGCAACCTCCAACTCCTGGGCTCGCGAGTCTCCTGCCTCTGCCTCCCAAGTAGCTGGGACCACAGGCGCCCGCCACAACGCCCGGCTATTTTTTGGTTGCAGCCATCATTGTTGTTTGGCGGGTCCGGGCTGGGGATTCGAACCCTCCACCTTAGGTGTATGTGGCTGGCGCCTTAGCCGGTTGAGCTATAGGCGCTGAGCCAAGCTACATGCTTTGAAGGTAGCATTCCTTTAAAGGTATCTCACTGGGTGCCTTTTTAGTGAATATTACCTATTTACTAAAGTGATAATCGATTTTAGTGAGTTAACTATATCCTAGGATTTCCAGATCTTAGTGTAAGAAACCAGTAATAAATGTCATCTGTAGACAGTGAGAAGCAAAGCAATTATTATCTAACAGATTACCAGCTTTTCATCTTTTAATTATGCAAATCAATCAAAGCACTCAATTACAGGGACTAAAATTGATCATTCCAGTAATTTCTTTTCTTTCTATTTATAGAGTTTGGATCTAGACAGCCAAGGGAGGGGGATGATGGAATAACATTGCATTGGGTAAATTTTATGAATTGCCCTGTGCTTTTTTACCAACTTGTTATTCAATAGACTTCCAAAGAAAAAACAACTAAATCAAACAAAAGGGGGATGATAAAAAAGAATTGAGAACATAACCCAGTGTGGCTGTGATAGCAGTATTGTGATTGGAGTATAACCTCTTTTCTTTGAGGTGGAAAATGGGTTCTGTTTTATTGTTTAATTTGAATCATATGATTATGCAAATTCTTGATCATGTTGGATTTTAGCATATCAGAAAGTAACCAGATTTACAGCATGTAGTAAAGTTAGTATTTTTGCTAATTACAGCAAACCGTAGTTTACAGATTAAATTTTTTAAAGATTTTTTAAATTAAGAAGTAGAAAAGATAATTTCAGCCAGGTATAGTAGCACATGCCTGTAGTCTTAGCTACTCTGGAGTCTGAGCTGGGAGGATCATTTAAGCCTGTGAGTTCAAGGCCAGCCTGGGCAACATAGTAGACTCTTTCCAAACCAAGAAAAAAAAAATTACAGATTTAAAGAAAAAAATTACTAAACTAAAAATAGCACAAAGAATGTACCAATATCTTTTACCCAGATTTACCTTTTGTTAATATTTTATTTCTCTTTTTTTTTTTTTTCTCAGATAGTCTTGCTGTGTTGTACAGGTTGGAGTACAGTGGTATCATCATAACTCACTGCAATCTTAAACTTCTAGACTCAAGCAATTCTCCTGCCTCAGCCTCCTAAATAGCTGAGACTATAGGCATGCCCCACCATGCCCAGCTAATTTATTTCTTTTTTCTTTTTTGAGACAGAGTCTCACTCATTTGACTAGGCTAGACTGCCATGGCCTCATCCTTGATCATAGCAACCTCAGACTCCTGGGTTTAAGGGATCCTCCTGCCTTAGCCTCCTGAGTAGCTGGGAGTACAGGGATCTGCCACAACACCTGGCTAATTTTTTCTGTTTTTAATGGTGATGGGGTCTTGCTGTTGCTCAGGCGGGTTTTGAATTTCTGGGTTCAAGGGATCATCCCACCTCAGCCTCCCAGAGTGTTGAGAATAGGCTCGAGCCACCATGCCTGGTTGATAATTTTTTTTATTTTTGGTAGAGCTAGGGTCTCTTACTTAGGTTGGTGTCGAACACCTGAGCACAAGCAATCCTTCCATCTTGGCCTCTCAATTGCTACAGGTTTGAACCACCACTCCCGGCTCCTTTGATTTTTAGTTTGTTCATGTGCACGCTCTAATGTGTTTGAGCCCTCTCCTATTTCCATCTTCCCTTTCCTCTTTCCCCCTCTTCCTCCCTTCTCTTTCATTCTCCTTCTATATATATGCAGTTTTTTTGGGAAATGTTTGAAGGTCATTTAAATATATTATGATTAGTACATTGATCAGTTTCAGTAAATTTAATGTTGGTATAACATTTCAAAATCATTAATTTAAAAATTTAAAAAATTATATTCTTTTTTTTTTTCTTTGAGACAGAGCCTCAAGCTGTCGCCCTGGGTAGAGTGCCATGGCAGCATCATAGCTCATAGCAACCTCCAACTCCTGGGCTTAAGCAATTCTCCTGTCTCTACCTCCCAAGTAGCTGGGACTATAGGTGCCCACCACAATGCCTGGCTATTTTTTGGGTGCAGCCATCATTGTTGTTTGGTAGGCCCAGGCTGGATTTAAACCTACCAACTCAGGTGTATGTGGCTGGCGCCTTAGCTGCTTGAGCCACAGGCGCTGAGCCAACAAAATCATATTCTAATTTAAAAGCATTTTCATTGTAGAAAAATTGAAAAATAAAGAATAACCAAATTAATAAAAATTGTCTATAGGTAACCACTGTTTCTATTTTGGTATATGTCTTTTTTCAGGGCAAACATTACATAGTACCTGTCTTTTTTATAATCTATTTTCTATGGACATTTTAGATATTATTTTTTTTCTAAAACATGTTTAATGGCTCTAGAGAATCTAGCATTTGAGTGAAATGTAATTTATTCGATCAGATTTCTCTTGGACATTTCAATTACTTCCACTGATGTTTTGTTATAGTTGACCTTTTAGTATAAATCCTTATGTGTAAATTCTATATTTTATATTTTTTATAATCTATATTCTGTGGACATGTTTTAGATATTAATTATGATTTTTTTTCTAAAATGTTTAAAGGCTCTAGAGCATTGGTTCTCAACCTTCCTAATGTCGCAACCCTTTAATACAGTTCCTTATATTGTGGTGACTCCCACACATGAGGAGCAGTGTCTCAGTTCCTAAGACCATCAGGAAATATGTGTCTTAGGTGACCCCTGTGAAAGGGGAAAGGGTCATTGGACCCCCAAAGGGGTTGTGACTCACAGGTTGAGAACCACTACTCTAGAGAATCTAACTTAGCATTTGAGTGAAATATAATTTATTTAATCAGATTTCCATAAGAGATTTCTATATTTTCTATTATAATTGACCCTTTAGTATAAATCCTTATGGGTAAATTCTATTTTTTTCTTTTTTTCTTTTTTTTTCTTTTTGAGACGGAGCCTCAAGCTATCCCCCTGGGTAGAGTGCTATGGCATCACGCTCACAGCAATCTCCAACTCCTGGGCTCAAGCGAGTCTCCTGTCTCAGCCTCCCAAGTAGCTGGGA